ATACTAATTTATTTTATCACATTTATTTTATACTTTTTATATTTATGTTTGTATTCTTCGGATAAATAGATCCAATAAACCTTCTGAATTTAAATAATGTATGATTTCTCCCTTTCAAATCAATTGGATACCATCGACGTAAATAAATATATTTTGGGGTGATAGGTAAAAAAGTTCTCTGGCCCCTGCTGTAGACGAGCGTTTATGATTAGGTGCCGACAGGAGGTGGTGCCCTCAAAGTCGATGACTTCTAACAGTAACTAATATTCTTCGTCGCCTATTTAAAATAGCGAACCGTCCATTATAGCGGTCTCAGGACCAAAGTTAATAAAGGTACATCCATCGCAGGAAACCGCAGATCCGGTATTGTCAGTGCCAGCCTCAGCTCATTGCCCTCGCGTAGCATATCGTCCATTTCTCAATGACTTACTCATGGCCATGAAATTGCTGAGATTATCGCTGGACGTAGAGCCGCAACAACTGCCACGAGACGGAATAGAATTACCGCGTTTTTAAACCTATATTGTAATAGAGGAACCTTCAAGCTCATCAGAGGTTTCAACCTGGGCCTGCTGATCAGAAACCGGAGAGTATAAAAGGTCGACGTTTCTTAGTGATTTGAGGTTGCCATTACAAAGTCGTCATGAAAGATCAAATATCTAATTTATCGTACAATTTCCTGATACTCGTTCTGTCGTTTCGCAATCATAATATTTATTCTCTATCGCGCGTTGTTTACAGTATCAGGTGTTCACATCGGGTTATAACAGTTTACTGTAGGAGTGGTCTGTTCGGTTCAAGCACTTCTCCTTCAGCGCATAAAAGATCAGTAACCATCGGGAGATAGCACTCTAGCAGGTGAAAGCGAACTACAGATTTATTCACAATCAACTGCGCCACAAACATGCACCCAAAGTTGCAAATCTGCGTGAAACGACAGGTTGGTCTTGCTAGTATCCAGCTAGTAGAGGGTATGACCCATCTATATGCATTCTATCCAATGTAATGAATCCTACCATGGTGATAGCTTCATAAAAACGTTGTCTCTGCCCTATGCATGGCGGCCAGACCCCACGGCCATTATCACAGACTCAATAATAATCCTTTCCCGCTCTTCGTCTCCTGTACAACGGTTGCCACGATAATGACGGCTTCAGTAGTACTTCAGTTGTCCTGCGCATTGGAGTCACTACCGACAGTTTGTTAGAATCGTCTCACTGAGCAACTGTGGATTGAGCAGTTGATAAAATTATAAAATTAATATTCGGTCATTGGTTATGGGTTCAAGTTACGCTTTCGTTTCATGACATTCGATCTCTCGTGATCCATTTCAGATAGTGGACAACCCGAGCAAGAAGCGCTTACTTGAGGAGGTGCAGAGCGCAATGAAAAGCTGCACTACCTTACGGTTGTATACCCTGGGCTACGTGTATCATGTTGTTGGTCACAACGTGAGCATCGACGAAAAAGACTCGACGACGTTACTGCAGCAGTTACTTGAACGAGGCATGGTTCATCCAGACGAGGTGACTGAGATCGTGGATCAGCTGAGAGCTCTAGGAAAGGCGCGACTGACTGTTCGCGACATAACGCACACTTTGCAGTACAGAATGCTGGTCACACAAGACGGACGGATAGCTTCGATGCGCCTGATGATGGCCGGCGGAGTGTACCAGAAGCCGGTCACCGAGGTAGCTGCCTCGTTTAAAGAGTTCGCGCTAATCACGAAAATAACGACTGATTTTTTAGGCGAAGCCGGAGGCAATCGACTATCTGATACTTGGCCTCATGAACGAGGTATACAACTGCCTGTGCGAGAGACACGATCTGGCAAAGTCCAAGGATCTGCCGCTCATGGAGTTGCTGCGCGACCTGAACCGGATATTCCTCGGCGTCGAAAAGAAGCTATCTACGTTAGACCGTAGCGACATCGATCGTCTACTTGGAGCAATCGAGTTGCTCATGCAAATACCTGAGGTAAGGAATGCGTTTCGCGGTTTGAATGACTTGTTTACGGTTGGTACATTTCTTGAAACAGCTGAACACTTACTTATGAGGCAAAACCACGATTGTCATTAATCGTCATTTACACCCTTCTCGGTGCCATGGTTCTTGTACTTTAAAGTATGGGTCGAGGAATAGGAGCAGAATCGGTTTAACGCATTTTTCATAGAGTCTCTCAAGTTCTCAAGTTTAGGGATCGGGACTTCTGCGCGTATGAACAACAGATATGATAAATTGCTCTTAAGGCTCTTCTCATTGCCTTTCCCGGAAATGAAATGTCAGTCCTCCTTGCATTTCTGATGACTTTCTTTTCATGGAATTAATGATGGGTGTTGATCTCCATTTCCACGCGGTCAGACCAGAGTGTCTAGTTATTTTAGAGACAAGGTTGACGGCAGCATTGTTACAATCACCGTAAGTGATCTCCTATTTGCTTTCCTCAGAGTAGTATTCATTCACCAACCTCAGATCCGGGGATCGTTCTACCGACTGAGCAACATCAGTCTAAATCAATAATTCCACTGCACATTTTTGATCTATGGTTTTGGACACGAAACGAAGAGTTTTTCTTAATATTACTTGTGAGTTTCAGATTGCGAACGACCCAGACAAAGTGCGGATCCTCCGCAAAGTTATGGCGATCTTGAAGCAACACAAAGCACTACCGCAAGATGAACTATCGAATGTGAATCACTCTCTTGGTGGAAAAGTGACGTTCACCAATGAGCATCTTCCTTCAGTGCTGAAGGGGCTAAAGGATCAAAGGGTGATTCATCCAGAAGAGGTGCCGCTGCTGACAAATCAGATAAGGGAGAAACGGCTGGAGGAAATCAGCATTATGGAACTTGTACAGACAATTGGACCGGAATTGGTACTTGCAAATGACGGCCGGGTAGCGACTAAACGGGCTCTCGTGACTGCTCAGGTAGTTCACAGATTATTTCAATATTTAACAGCAATTTTGCCTGTTTTTTCATGAACCGTAGAGCATATTCTGTCTTTCCATGAGAAGGGACGAGTTGGAGGCAATTGAGCAAGAAGTAAACCGGATGCTGCGGATAGCTGCCACATAGTAGCTTTCCAAAACCGCTGGCAATCATAACGATTCAATTTCTGATACTGGATTTATGCGAAATAGAGGGATTGTTTTTTATGGATATTTGCTGACGGATAGTCAAAGATCTAGTTTCTGCTCTAACGCGCCCTTGTTCTACCAAACTCAGTGCTGCCCCTTTGTATCCAATGCGTCACAGGTGCTAAAATACCACAGAGAGATGACCTGCTTGAATGAGGTCCCTAAGTGACTAGAAGCAAATCAGCAGTGCGCCTACCACGATTAATCTGATATGATTATTTTGTGTTCTTTCATATTAATTTTCGAATGGTGTTCACATTTCAGAAAGTAAGGGCAAATCTGTTTCGCTGATGCTCAATATCTTGTTTTATGTGCCAACTTTGAACAGGCACAATTTCGTAGGCATAAATGACCTATGGCAATGAGTTTGTAGGACTCGAACGGTGTATTCAGCTTAATGCAGTTTGCGTCCATCTGACAGAAATGAGGCGTTTCCCGATGCAAAAAATAACCCTCATGACCTGCCATGTAGTGCGTAGTTCATGCCCATGGCGCTGCAAGGAATTCACACAAAGTCGTATTAACGGCGACAGTTCGTTTTGACCATCCAAAGGCCATCACGATATGCATCCCGTAAATCAAAAAATAATACCGTGCCACTCCGCGTTGGTCAGTCGTTTTGCCATTGTATGAATTCATATGCTAGGATTAAATCGTTCATTCGGTCTGTTTCGTAGTTTTCCGGTAGCTTCCAAAGAGCATGTCTTTGTGGAGATTACACCTTGTGCTGATTTATAACATTGAATTTTAGCTATTAAGTTGGTCAACGCGGAGTGCTGTCAGAAAGTGCTCTCGCAATGGACAGCATGGTTCGGGTCATATGTTTGTTGAGATCATCACCTGGGGCCGTTCGCATAAGTAGAACCTCTCTGGTGTGTTCTCCACTTTACAGCACGTTAGTCGTAAAGCACCGGTACTGTATCACGTAAGGAAATGTTCCTCTTCGTAAGCAGGTCTGCCTCTACCATGTTCCAGCATGTTCCGGCCTCTTGTAGACGATTGTCACGCTTCGGCTCTCACATTGGACAATCAAGGTTTCCGCTCGACCTCAGTTTAGAATCACCTGCGCCTGGAAGAGGATGGAAATATTCCATACGTATTCCTGCCATAACCCCTATTATGCCTCGAAACAAACGCAGTTTAGCCGCCGTTCTTGCTCGTCCGTTAGACCGACTTTCTTCGTACCAACACCTCTCGTCCATTCTGCTACGATCACACGAGAAAATCATGCTACCCCTGTTGCTCGCATATGAACGACTTGCAGCTCGTGTCTCGGCTGGTTCTGCGAAGATCGGGGGTAAATTCATTGCTCAAGGGAAAACGGGGTTAGGAGAAAATTGTTCCCTTTTCAGGACCTGAACCCATGCCTCCGGAGTTCGAAGCGAATACTGTACCATAGCGTCTTCATGTAAACTTTTTCTGCATATCTACTTGTAAGAGTTGTGCATCTATTTTATCGAAACCGATACTTTATTTGCAGCCACCTGCCGCTGTAGAAGTCCGAAAGCCTGCCGCCGACTATGCGACAGTGAAGCTATTGGGAGAACTGTATCAGGCGCTGAACGAAATTCCGGACATTATCAAAACCTACGAGGACAGGCAGCTGGTCAGCGTGCTGCAGCAGCTGAGCAGTGTGTTCTTGAAGCCGGAAACGAGAACTTCTTTGGAAAGTGGTCGGCCAGCTGATTTGCGCCGCGACGAGGAGGGGGAGAAGAATATTTATGAATTGCAAGAAAAATTGAAAACAGCAAATATATCTCCAATGGTAAATGACTAATTACTGAAAAATTAATGATGATTTAATCATATTTTTAAGTAGGGGTAGAACTGTATGCTTATCTTTCTTTATTATATTCATTCATTATGTGCACTTATACTTTTCTCGGTTTGCTATCAGATTTCGTTCAGTTATTTTTTGAGAGCCCTGCCCAACAGTTGACACTGGCATGATTAATGAAGTTTTCGCTGGTCTAGCGACGGCCTATTCATGATTTTTGGCTCTCAGTCTTCTGTTAAGATATGTGTTAAAGGCTTAAGGTATACGGCGCTCTTCCACTCCTGTTTTCAGGGCTTCGTCAGTCGATCTGAGTGACGTAAAAAAAGGCTTTCGAGGCCACCATAGCTGCTGAAAGGTATATATTCATGGAAAGATATACATATCTCATCCTTTCATGCCATGTAGTATTTCAGTTGTCTCCTATTTCTCGAAACATGAAGTTGGAGGTTGGATTCAAGGGCCCATGTTAAAAGTAATTGTACAATTTAATATTCCATTATATGCATTAAAGTTTCACCTGTCTTCTAATCAAAACACACATTTTGTTTTAGCAGTTCCTGTTGTGAAACGCTGCCATGTCATTTTTAGTAAAAACAGCTGCAAATTTCAACTGAATGGACTGTAAATGGTTGTAACCGATAATAACAAACGTTATATCTAAACCACACGTAAATATACAGTAATTAATCATCAGTTTTAAATAGGTATGATAACGTTTGGATCATTAATAACGGCGATGATTCATTGAATCTTTGATTGATTCTTGTTCGCTCTTATACCAGGGGCCTCATCTGTTTAGTTCCTTCGTCCGGTCATCGCAGAAGATTCGTTTAGCGGCCGGGGAATGCAGAAGTAGCGATCACATAGTGAGAATCCTCGAGGTAGTGTTCATTCCGTATTTTACAGAAGCCATCACCCAAACTGACGGTGAGAGATTCTTCTTGAAATTGCTCAGTATTCTGTTGGTGTCATGTACGAAGACGGTACAGTCGCTCACAAATGGTAAATGCACTAGCGGTTTTCCGTCAATATTGACATAACTGCTCCGGTTTAACCGGATGAAGTGTGAGTCCAAGGTTACAACGAAAAGTACTGATCAACTTTTATCTCTTTACCTCATTCCTCAATGGACACTGATGTTATTCAGACAACGATTGTTCACTTGCTCGATCAGGTTAACGTAGGCACGGTATGTGCTACGATCGATTTGAACGCTTTCTGCTTGTCGGTTAAACACGCCGTATTTTCATACAGAGGAAGATGTCAGTTTGCTACAGAATTTCGTTGTCTCTTGTCAGGTGATCAGTATATATGTCATCATTGCTCTTTCGTCTAGTTACTATTTGTGCTATACAGAAAAAGTTCCATCATGCCTCGCAGTGGCGTGCCATCCCGCAAATTCGAAATTATCCTGAGTTACAGTGTAAGATATCATACTCGGTCTAAAGTAATGGTGACATTAAGCAAAGCTTGGCAAACAAGGTTTCTAAGCCGATGTTTAAATTCAAATCACGCAAAGGACATCAATCTTTTTTCAGTGCTATACGTGAGCTACCAAACGTGGCACACGCATCTTTGCTGATTCGATTAAGAATCATCGTCGTTCGTTTGGATGGCAGAGTGCATAAATCATTCCTACCGTGATTTCTTCGACCTGTAGCTCTCAATCCTTCCGCCAGCACTTTTGTCTAGAGTCTCATACTCTTAGACGGCCAAGTCTGAAAACAAACAAGGAGTTTCGTCACTGACGGTAATCACTCACTTTCTTCTTGTCCCTTTGAAGTTGGTTTTTGCCAATTCGCCGCGATAATTAACTCCGACGTTGAGTTATCATCCGTGTGCCAACGATTCGTGCCTATTGCTTGCATGCCTGCACTGCCAACCGCTAAATAAGGCCCATGAAATATGGGACAAAACGTCGGCATCGGTCCACCATCCGACAGATCCCTATATTTGCCATTGAGCCTACAATTAAGTGGCTTTGGTATGTTTCTCTCAGTATGACTTCCAGCACAACACACCTATGTACATCACCGTCATATGGTAATCATAGACAAATTTTAGATCGCCAAGGACGCAGACAAAAGCCGAGTGATCGGACACTTGTTGAAAGCACTCACAAAGGGTCAGTCTTTGTTTCTGTCCGAACTGGCCGATGTATTTAATGCCCTCGGTGCAACAGTGACGGTCTCGGGCAAGAATTTGCAGCGGTTCTTACAGAAGTTGTACGAACGTGGCGTGATTCACCAGCACCAGGTGACGACTTTGATAAACCAGCTGACGGGCAAGGCCGAAGTGACCATGCAGGATATCTGCCATTGTATCCTTCCTCTGCTGATGGTCAGCAGTGAGGAACGAGTGACCATGGCTGCAGCTCCAGCTGCTGTTCCAAAGGTATGTTCTAAAACCGACGGTCTTTTCTCGTTAGCATCACGTGAAGAGGGAAAAGTGCTTCATGTTCGAACGTTTAAACATATCATAAACATGCACAGGTTCGAAGAGACTTGTCGCGGTCGCAAACTGTATCGATCGGAGGAAAATCTTTTATCACAGAGGATCGCGTTAGGGGATCAGTCAGGGCGATTCGTTGCGACTCCTTGATGAGGAGCAAGGGATGTGGCAGGTTCAGAGCAATCAAATGGTCCCGATCACTGACAATTGGCAAGTTTCCTAGGTGAAATCCCATCGCTAACAACGAAGGGTGTTCAGCGTAGTTCCTCATTTGCAATTCGGTTAACACCTTGACCGAGTTGCTTGTAGTACCGCGAAAAAAAGCCCATTTCGCTAGTCTCCGTTCTTACTGATTTAATAATATGATAATAAGCAAACCATGAATATGCCCTTTATGATCTTTCGCTTTACTGATCTGTGCTGTTTGTGCTGCTATCAATCATACGGCACATTATGCAGCTTCGACATATACACCTGTCAGCCCATGATTCAGTCTTGTCACATAGGGATACTGGCTTTCTACCGTATACGATGAAAGTAGAAGTAAGCTAGTCGAGATTCGATTCAAAAATCTTTAATTTTTATGGTTCTCAAATGCTCTGTTACGAGAAACGCTAGTTGACTGACACTTAATCCAGTAGAAATTTGCAGCATTACGTATGATGCAGCCGTTCCTGCCTTAAACACGATTTGCATGCCTGAATATCTTATTTGAGGTTAGAGTACTTTTTAGCATTGCGCCAGATGCTGCTTTCTTAAGATCATAAAGCTCCAAAGTCTATCAAATGAAAGTTATTGGAAAATAAATGGTTAGGAAATATTTCATACAAATGTGTATTTTACTTTTATAATATTTTTACTTGATTGCTACTCTCCTTTTTATAACTCCTAGGTAAAAGTGGCATTTGCAAAAGTCCCGCAAGTTTCTGTGGATTACCGGCAAACGAAAATGACTGGCGAATTGTATTCAGCTTTGCAAGAAATTCCTGAAGCCGTACAACGCCAGCATCATCCTCTCGTCCAAATAATGGACTCTGTGAACCTCGTTTTTATGACAACGGGACTGCGACTTCCGTTGGTTCTGGGCCAAGTAACCGATTTGTTTCAAGGACCGGAGGACAGGCAAAACATCCAGAAATTAGAGAAAGCGTTGAAGGCAGCCGGCGATTCACCGGAGGTGAGAAGAGATTCATGAAATTAATAACCCAATAACTATCAGTCAATTTTTAGTCATCGAGCTGGTTATCGGTATGTTCATGATTAATCATAATCAGTGGGCAAAATATAACCTCAATATACTGTGATAGTGTATAATTCCCCTAGTAATTATAACCTTTAATTCCTAATATTGCATTTATCAGACATAAATACACCTTTCCGTTGCGAACCATTTAAACAGGTCACCCCTCGATGATACTTGGGCACGTGCAGTGCAATAGTGCATATTTGAGTTGCACTGAAAATGGGTATGTTCGAACACCATCGGATTAGTTGGCAAATTGTATTAATCCTCGAACACGCCCTTCTTCAGTATAGCCCAACTCATAGGTACCCCCCAGCAAAGTCGGGAAAGAGCGATGATGTGGTATGAAGGAACTGTGATATCTAAACTTGATGAACAGAGTATGAAAGCTCTGTGTGGATGATACTGCGCTGCTTTTATATCTGCTAGAATCGACTGAGGAATGTCCCTTGCTTGAGTTCGAGAAAGAGAATCGTTTTCGGAAACGAATATTTACAAAGAGATGGAAATAAGAGATCACCGTAGGAAATAAGAAGAACCCTTAGGAAATACATCCTGACGGAAACGTCTTAGATGAATGTCAGATGTGCGGCAGTACAAAGGAGTCGATTCAATGCGCTGTCGCTGGTTGTTCCATTTTTATGAAAATCTAGTACTGAAACGCTACAAAAGCGCGCCAAGAACATACAATAATAATTAATACTTGAAATGAGGTCTAACCTCAGAAACAACTCAATATTTCTGAACCATCCAATGACTGTGCCTGAGGATACCGTTGATTTCGATCATTTCATACTTATTAATCGTACGGCTGATCGCAGTAGTTCATACATCTTAATCCTGGATATCACAATCAAACACCTGAAGATATCGATGCTGTTGTTCCACTAGACGGGAACGAAATGAATCCTTGAATGAAGAAAATACGAGAATAGCGAAACCTGGCCATCGATCTGAAGCAGGTGTAATGGTCAAAGCGCTATGTGAACAACTGCAGAGTTCATCATTGCAAAAGACCTCGTTCCGAAATCAGTGACAACGAGTTTGGACCACCTGAAACTCACAGAAAGACTATTAAAAAATTGCCAGAAAGCTGCTGTTTTAGGTACAATGAGAATGTTCTCAGACCTCATATAGTTGACTATGAGTAAGATAGAATACAGAAAAAAATAGTAATAATTTCCATTGGTTTTTTTTCTACTTATGCTAGGTATACTGTGCGTAATGAAATTGCTCTTGTTTGTTGGTAGTGATAGATTTTAAACTTCGATAACCTCCTTATGAGCCTATATCAGTTGACAAGTAGTTTGAAAGCCAAATAAATTTTGGCTTATTTAGCATTTCGCACATTTTCTCAACCAATAGACACATTGTTGTATACACGTGTAAACAGTAAATATAAAGTTGTTAATCACGTTGTTTTGCGATGTGATCATTTACTTTATTTAAAACTATTTGTTTGTTTACAGACAGATGATCAAATTTAGCCCTGATAATCAACCGATTGTGCTTTCATAGATTTCTAAAGACGCAGAGCAAATGGGCATCATTGGTCGGATGTCAGAAGCTATCCAGAAGGAAAAGACCTTGCTGTTGAATCTGTTAGAGGAAGCGTTCCTCGTTCTTGGTCGCGAAATCAGAATCACACAAAAATTCATTCCGCTTATGTTGGAGAAATTATTCTACCGAGGCCTGATTCATAGGGACGACGTGGCCGTTCTTCTGGCAATGCTGAAGATCCCGCCATCGGGTATGAGGGTAGGCGATGTAAGTCGCGATTTGGCCTCGCAACTGGTCGTTTCGTTGGACGGAAGGATTGTTTCAAGGAGGATGATTGCTACGATTTATCCTGTCAAAATTTTTACGGTATATAACTTATCACAAGTATTTGAATTATAAGGCTGGGTATAATCCAAACATTTTTAAACTGAATTTTTGCTATTCCATTTTTTCAATTTTATAAGATGAAAGCAATTTATTTTAAAAATTTCGTTTGCCTAAGTTTTCATGTCAGTACGTAGTATTCAAAATGGATATTGGACAGAAGTTGATGCAGCTCCTTGCAACTCGATGAGGAGCTCTGCTGCTTTCCAGCTCTATCTGAAGTCTTATATCCTTAGAATACAATTTACCGATCGCGTTGGAGATATGCCACGTGGTCTCTGCTAGGCACTGAGTATATCCGTTCGCTACAACAGTATTCCATATGTCATCCACTTACTTTAGACGATCACATCTTTCACCCTGTTTCGCTGCTTCGTGACTTCGTTACGGGAGTGACCACGAAAAAAATCTCCAGAATCCTGATCTTCATGATTTTCTTTCTACTCTTGGCTGCCCCTCCTGAGCTTTTGTCAGCGACCTTGTTTCGCTACGAGAGGGTTGCCCATATTTCTCTCCTGATTCGTATTCATGGGACTTCCATACAGGTGGAGTTTCGCGCCTCCTCTTTTGAGGATGTCTAGCCATTCCATGGCCAACGGCTGCTATGCGACCCAAATATGTATAACTCTTGGCATCCTGTGTGTTCTTAAAACGAATATTTGGGGTTTTGGCAGAGCATCAGTTGACATTAGGATAACCAGAAGTTCCAGAAGGTAATGATCAGCCCAACGCTGCAGCTGGTAGAGCAGCACAGCTATTAAACTTTTAATATAGCATTGTTGAATTATCCACTACATTCATAGCAATCGTCCCTGCTTCGTCTTCACGCGTTTTCAACACAGTTTTTCTCTCATGCAAGACGTTTTAGATAGATTAGCTCGTATGGGAAACACGTCCATTAGCCAAATATCATGGCAATTTTGCTTCGTAAATTTTTCATCACCTACCTTGGCGTTCTTCCCAATCCCCAGCGTCAAAATTAGCATTAGCCTCATTAATTTTCAAATTTATTAGAAAGTGTGGATGCTTAAATTTGCATAATAACTTCGCAGTCTTCCTGAGCCGAGCATATTTTGCACAAACGTGTAAAAATCCTGTCTGCTGGTAGTCGAAACCTATGCGACACGACTTTCGTTCTGTTTAGAACAGCATGCCGTTGCCCACCCCTGAACAGCCGGTAGTCGATTACGGTACTCTGAAGCTGATGGGCGAGCTGTGCGAGACGATGTACCGATTTCGCCCTGCTCTGCGAGAGAACGACAAGCAGTGGGTGGAGCTGTTCCGCGGAGTGAACCAATTGTTGCTACAGTCGAGGTACAGGGACGCCCTCGAATTCGACGTTGTCGAACATTTAACGGTCCGTGCCGCCAAGGGCATCCAAGATCTGTGCTCTCTGCTCAAAGCCGTACAGCAAAATCCAGCGGTAGGCAGTACATGCTGAATTTTTGCAACTCTTTAATAATAATAATATCTACTGTAATAGATAGGCTACGAGATGGTTAGAATCTTGGAAAAATGTTTATTTATTATGAACATTTGTAAGGCTCTCCAAACCCACGACGGTACTCATTTTTTGGCACAAATTAATAACGGGTAGAGGAGATATGTTTTTTGTTCTTTTTCGTTTGTATGTTTCTTTTGTCACCCTTTTCAAATCTATTGCATGTCAGTCTTTTGCACTGATTTTCTTTGTTTATGGTGTATTTCTTCCATGTAATGCTTTGGTCATTTACTTGGCAATCTTTTACGTCCGTGACCATGATATCTAAACTAAAAGCAGCGTGGTGCGGGATAAAAATAAATATGTAATAAATAATGATAAATTCACTTAATAGATAAATATATACATGGTTAGGTTTATGAATATATACATATTAATATTTGGAATAAAAC